TGCAAAAACAAAATACATGTAAAATGTTGTGGTTGTAGAACTGTCACCACCTTATCTGAATTCGCCTTGCCTTGCCTGTTATTATGTATTCATATGTATAAGTTAACCCCCTGTCTATATTATCCAAATATTTATCACGATACTTGACAAGACGTCGGCAGAAAAATTGTCAGTTTTTTGTTTATGTTAATGCATAGGGGTAACCCCGTGTCTATATTAGACAAATATTTATTATGCTAAACGTCAAATTGTTATCATAATAAAAAATTAGCAGGTACAGACGGCATTTATTAGCGTTATAACGCCGTTATGACAGTGTTGTCTAAACAATTGTTTAGACAACGTTGTCTTGATAAAAAACGTCATTTTATTGTAAAATTTGTTTAGAAATTTGTTTTTGTGCAATTAAAATTGATTTTTAACATAAGTTTTAGTGAAATTAGTGTTTATTTACAAAATTTGCATTTAATTTTAATTGTTTTTATAAAATATAGCATTATTTCAATAAAATTATCTGTGAGTTGTCGTGATAAAATCAGCGTTTTGTTACCCCTGTGTATTAACATAAACAAAAAACTGACAATTTTTCTGCCGACGTTTTGTCAAGTGCCGTGATAAATATTTGTCTAATATAGACACGTGGTAACAAAATGCTGATTTTATCACGACAACTCACAGATAATTTTATTGAAATAATGCTAAATTTTATAAAAACAATTAAAATTTAATGAAAATTTTGTAAATAAACACTAATTTCACAAAAACTTATGTTAAAAATCAATTTTAATTGCACAAAAACAAAATTCTAAACAAATTTTACAATTAAATGACGTTTGTTATCAAGACGACGTTGTCTAAACAATTGTTTAGACAACACTGTCATAACGACGTTATAACGCTAATAAATGCCGTCCGTAACTGCTAGTTTTTTATCATGATAACAATTTGACGTTTAGCATAATAAATATTTGTCTAATATAGACATGGGTAATAAACCAAAAACAATGTTCTATGAAAAAAAGTACCAAAAATGGGTACAATTTTCACCCCTTAAACACTCGAATATCCAAAAAGTACTAAATTCATATTTTTATTTTTTCGTCAAGTTATAATGGAGTCAAAAATATTTTTTGAATGTTCCCTGGCTTAAAAGATACATGGGTTCATTTTTAAATGAACGACGATAAGCTTTAAACTTTTTTTGTATCTTTTATAGAGAGTTGAACTTATTTTATTTATTTTTTCCATCCCTGCATAATTCCTCACACAACTTTTGTGCTTGCTCTATTTTATTGTTATAAATTTTCGGCTGTATTTATAAAAACTTATTTTAGGTTTATTAAACAATTTTAGGCAAAATTCAGGAAAATCGTATTTATAAACGTGAAATAGCTTAAAACACCTTCAATAAACCATTGACAATTAGAAGAATTTTATTGTAGGCTCGACCCTTCTTTAAGCCAACAATAACTTGATTTTTAACAATTTTTTTCTCAGATAAAGATTTTTCCGGTAATTTTAGGTTGATTGCGAAAAGTAATTGTGGTTTCTTTTAAAATAAAATCTAAAAATTCTAATTTTAACGTTTACAAATTTGTAAATAAAATCCCACAAAAATTTTTAAACGATTATATTTTGAGGAAAAAACTCAAATCTAGGCATTATTGGATTAATGCATGAATATTTGACAATATTCCAATTGTCCAGCACTATTTTTAGGCAATTTGGAAATGCCCGTCTGTCAACCAAATGATGGACAAAATCATTTGATTTGGCTTTTTCTAAGTTTGTTGGTTAAATATAATGCCATAAAGTAATTAACCATGTAAATTATATTGATTAGTTTTATACTAATGCAAAATATATTCGCCGGCATTAAAATTAGTCAAATATCAAAGAAATTTATCAATATTTGCAAAAATTTATCAAAAATTACAAGGAAAATAAGTAAAAATAAGAAAATGTGTCATAGTGATGTATATTTTGTCGCAAAATATCCGTTATTCGGATACTTTTAATAATAATTAGAAATTATATGTTATATTTATACATCTGAACTAAATAGACATTTATTAAAGCCATATATATTTATTTTTCTTAAAAGTTTGTTTTTATTGTCAAAAATCTATTATAAACAAAAATATGAAATTAAGAAAACCGAATCAACGAATATTTTATCCTAATTGTACGCAACACTAACACATAAAATGACAGCCATATTGTACAGTGCTGCCAACTTAAACATAAATCAGCACAATAGTTAATATACGTTTATTATTTGTTTATGAATATCATAATTTTATTAATGGTTTTTAAGGCTAAAGTGTGCTTTAACTATTGAGTGCATTAAAAGCAAAATAAGATTTTTTTTATAAATACAAGCGTTTATCTCTCGGATTCCGTTTTTATATTAAATTTTTGGAAATTTGTCAAGGCGAATTAATATAAGGTGGTGTTATTCAATCAGCTGATCATTTTTTTCTTAATTCGCCTGGTTTACGTAGCTGCCAAAGTTTGTTATTGTTTACATTTTTATATTTAAAAATGTCCGTTAAACGGAGAAAAACTTCGTTAATTTTTGAATTATTTATGTAAAAAATCTGAAAATACCAAGCATTCAGTAAACAAATATCATTTTATATAAATAATGGCATATTTTTTTCTATTAAATGTTAACATATTACACAATATTGTTTTATATTTTATATTAATATTGTGTAGATAACGTGATTAACTAAAAAAAATCTCTTCTGGAACACTTAATATTAAGAAACGCATATGAAGTATTTACCCTGCTGGCGGCAGCTGACTTCTACGTTATGGCTTAATTTTGAAATCTATTAAATGTTAACAAATTAAACAATATTGTTTTATATATATACTATGTAGATAAAGAGAGTAACTAAAAAAGTCTGTTCCGGAACGCTTTATATAACAAAACCCATATAAGGTATTACCCGTCCGGCGGCTGCTACATTATGGCCAAATATTGAAAATTACTCCGCCGGAGTAGAATTATCCATTCGCAACAAATATTCATTCATTCGTAATATAATATTTTCATGAATATGTACTTTTTATGTTTATTTTTCACAAAATTTTTTTTTACTTAACTTCAGGCACTCACTTAAATTTTTCAAATTAATCTGCCGGAATAGAATTTTTCGTTTGAAACAAACATTATTCAATTCAGAATATATTTTCCTCACAAATTTTAATATCTTTATCTTTATTTTGGAACAAGTCGGTTTTAGTGACATTTCTCAAAAAAAAACCCAATATAGAGCGTTTTGAGACGATAAAAAATATACATTTTTTTTGTCGGCCACGCCTACTTTCGAGTGGGCGGGGCTCCAAAGTTTAATACATTTTTGTGTATATCTCGAAAACTGTTTTGTTTACATTGAAAATACCTTTCCAATGATATATAACATGATACTAAAATATGGACCGACTATGGGTATTTCCCGGAAAATATATATTTTGACCCGACTTTTTCTTTTCATCTAAAAGAAATCGGAAAAAATGTCTATATAATTCTATTATAAATTTCTATATATTAATAGCCAATGAATTAAGCTTTTATTTACGGTATAAACCATTTCTGTATCTAATCAAATGAAAGAGATATTTGATTTCAAAAACCATTTATTTTATAATTTAATTTACATATCATCAGAGTTGTCAGATTCCCCTGATGAAGAAAATAGTTCCTCGTGAGAGGCCAACATTTGTATTAAAATATTTTTTGTTTACGCGGCTTTCTTTGCTTAATAAAGATTTCCTAAATAGCCGGCCTACGGCCGGGCGCAAGGATTTTCTCCTCTATGGTATGTCTAACACCAGCTTCGCTTAATACAGATAAGAATACATACGTTTTTTTTCTTAATAGCAAAATCATAATTTAATTATTACTATCTCAGGAACTATAATACTTACAAAAAAATATTATACCTTAATAAAAAGCTCAATATCTTGGCTTTTAAACAATCTAATTTATATACTTACCTATAAAGGCATTTTTTCCCGATTTTTTAGATAAACCTCAAAAATATCGGGTCAAAAATTATGTTTCCCAAAATTGACCTATAACGGGTCCTTTTTTGTATATCATATTACATATCATTGGAAAGGTCTTTGAAATACCTTTAATTTGATATATATAACGGTCGAAACAAATGTATATTTTTTGAGATATAGCCCTAAAATTTTTACGTCATTTCACTCACAAACGAACTCTCTATTAGTGGTGAAATTTTCGACGTGATTTGAAAAATGTCACTAAAACCGACTTAAGCCTTTATTTTTTAATAAGATATAAACATTTTACGAAAATTTTTCATCAAATGAATTCGCCATACTTATGGTTTTTGACATCTACGTCAAGATATATTAATTATAAGGTAGTGTTATCAGAACAGCTGATCGTTTTTTGCTATTATGTTCATTTTTCGCCGTAGTGTATAATTAATGTCAAACTTTGTTTACATTTTGTTAATGTCAAACTGGTTTCATTTTCTATATGTGAATTTTGCGATTAAAGTGAAATTGTGTGATTAGGGTATATTCTTGTGTTTTTAATCTTTAAAAGTTTAAACATCAAACTAAATTACAAACAGATTCAAATTTATAAACATTTTTTGTTTAATATAATAAATTCGCTTTGATTTATTTGTCAGTTGTTTTTGAAATTTTTCCTTACAGCCAATTCGCCTTCAAGTACAGGCACAATGTCAAACTACATATAAACCAAACTACATATAACCAATTCGCTTGGTATTCTGAATTCACCGATGACACTACCTTATAAAATTAATATGCCTTGATCTACGTAAACCAAATGCAAAAACGAAATACATGTAAAATTTTGTTGTTGCAGAACTGCCACCACCTTATCTGAATTCGCCTTGGAAATTTGTAAATTAAGCTTATTTGATACTTAGCCGGCTTACAGTGATTTTAAGCCGCCGCCGATATTTTAAGTATCAGCGCCGCCGCTGTCGATAATATTTGTCGGCGCAGGGATCTGATATGAGTATGTTTTTTATTTAATGTTACAATTACAATGAATCCGATTACTTCCTCAAAGGAATCGCTATCACAGGCACTACAATGCAAAATTATACCAAATCAAGAGTACCTACTACAAGGATCAATAATTGAATCTGCTGTTGATCATTTATTGCACAGGTTTTTAATATTTAATTATTTGTTCATGCAAGAATTCATAGTGTGGTTTTCAGGCTCCGTGGTCTTTGTGACAATGTTGAAACTGCTCCAGAGACTTTTCATGATTTGGAAGTTTGTATGAGCATGAGGCAGCCAAATCAACAATTAAGTGTACGGGTTCGCCGAGCTCTTGACAGAGATGTACCATATCAACTGCGATATATAGGACAACCTGAACTAGATCGATCACGGCCAACTCTTGTACGATCAAGTATTGATGTAGGATGTACTTCAACTGTTCTTGAATTTTTAACTGAATTGGGCTGTCGTCTAGACTTCGAATATGTTAGTCAAGGATATATGTTTCGAAAAGGACGAATGAAGATAACAGTAGCAAAAGTATTTAAAATAATGCACGGAAAGCAGAATGATGGTGAACCAGTTTGTCATAGCTTTCTGGTAGAACTATCAGTTTTAGCTCCAAATGGACAAGACGCAATAGGAGATGAAATGAGGATTTTTGCAGAGCAATTGAAGCCGTTAGTACAACTTGAAAAGATTGATTACAAAAGACTAGGAACATTGCCCTAATTTTATTATTCTATGATATACAATGGTGGTTATGAGGTTCACTTAGTATCTGTTATCTATAAAATCAAATATTTAATTTAGTTCGTAACTTTAACGAATTACTTTTTATACGCAATGATAATCACGTTTCCAATGGTCATATACTCCATAAAAAGACAGGTTATTTAATATCGCAAAAAAAAGTGAGGAATAAGAAATAGAAATTTCACCACAATATACTTGAAGTAGTTGAAGTAATTTTGGTGAGAAACTGATGAATTTACATTGTTTATTTTTGACAACTTTGGACTTGATCTAATCTTATTCATAGATAGATGCAGTAAACATCCGATATATGGCTGTCAAAAATAAACCATATTCCTTCACCGCTTATGTAAATTTCATTTGTTTTTCATCAGAATTCGTAGTACTTCGAATATATAATTTGTAATGTCTTTCCTACATCATTCATCAAAGGTTCATTTTATTTTTAACAAAAAAAAACTTTTTAAACCTTCTACGAGGCAATTTTTGGTTTTTAATAAAAAAAGAGATCTACGTTTCATAAATCTTGAAAACTTTATTTTTTTTGTTTTATCTTTATACAAAATTTTGGACAAATTGGATTGATGCCAAACATTTGGTCCTACCGAACCGGATCCAGAATTGAGTACTGGATTTTGTTGGCATCTTTTGAAGTCCATCATCCTCAACAATACAGTCCACTGCCAATATATTTATTTATTTCAGCGAAATAAGGTACATAAAACCACGTTCAAAATTTCTCTCCACTTAAAATCTCTCCCACAAAGAATAGAGTTAAAAAAACTAACTGAAATTCTGTATTGATCCCATTGAAACCATTATTTTTGCAATAATTTACTCGTCGCTATTCGTAATTTTAATGTAATTTTAAATTATGCTAAATAAATGGTGTGACAAAAATTAAGCTTTACCACGAATAAAAGAGCTTTCTCTCTTTACACTTACATACATATACTGACAATATAAATTATTGGCACAGTAAGCACATTAAACTTCACGATAGATTTAATGACATTATGACATACATAGGTTTTTAATAAAGAGACATTTTTACTAGATAGAGTAGTTAGTTCTCCACAAAATTCACTTTTTTGCATTACAAAATTTTTATCATATTATTAAACAATGGAGATTCAAAAAAGTTCCCAATTTTCCTGAACAAAATTATTGGCGCACTTACCAACTATCTTAAAGATGTATGGCCCTAAATTTTTTTTATGGTGAAATTGCCATATATTCTACTTCCTGAACAGTTATCACCAGGGCAAGGATTTGTATGCAAATGCATGTTTGTAGTCAGTAACTCAAAATAACTTTTAACTAGTTTTCTTTTCGAATCAAAGAATTTGCAACAAAATGGCATCGATTTGTTGCTGCATATTTTTACATATTTTGAGCATATTTTGCTTATTGCATATATTTTGAATATTTATAACATTTGTATAGCATATTTTGTATATTTTTTTAATTTTTCGAACATTGTGTTTTTTTTTTTTTTTTGTATTACATAGGTACATATTTTTACAATTAAAAAAAATATTTAAAATAATTTAAAAAAATGTAAACAGTAAAGAAATAGCTATCAAAACTCCTTTGGAAATTTTTGCTACGATTAATAGGTGAAAAGTTACACTCATTTGAAAAAAAACCTGTGTGACCAAAATGTCCAACTCTGACTCCCTCTACCTCCGGTAGTTCTTGACCGATGTGTATGGCCTACTATCCAATAGTACTAACTTTGGTGCAAATTTCATCGAAATCGAATTTTTGAATTGTGTCATTTGACACGAAATTGTCCATATTATTTAAAGGTGTTCCTTAGGCTTTATAATTATTGTCATTCTTGAGATCGTGATTCTGTTAAATTGGTATTAGGGTACATAAAGTGATACATTTGTCATCAAGAATCTATATATTTGTTGTCAAAAACTTAGGTTCTAAATATTTATAATAAAAACAGGATGCACTAAGTAAGGTGAAATCGTTAAGAGCGGGTTTTTGAGATGGTAATCAAATGCCAATTAATAATCAGATTAGTTAATCTAAAAATAAATTTAATCTTATGTTAATCCCCTTTGATGTTTTTGGGCACTGGCACACGTTCAATATATATTGATCAATATATTGAATATATGAATCACGACCCATTTTAATAGTTTGATGAATACCTCGATATGCTACACGTTCAATATTTATCGCGTCAGTATTTTCATTATTTCGTGCTACACGGGTCGTACGATGATAACAAGAATGCCGCGAAAACTCCAAATTCATACAAATTTAGAAAAAATTTATTATCTTTTATATTTTTTATTAACATTTAAAAAAATATTTGACTTTGTTTTTTTTTTATTTTTCCTAATTTTACAAATGTATCGTGATTGATATCACAAAACATGCTACAAATTGATTTGATTGATACAAATTTTGGATTTCAGAAAATTGGGGTTTTCTGTGATATGGAACACGATCCGTCAATATTACATCACAAAGTGATTACATGCTACACGTTCAATACATATCACAATACAGCAAATATCACGATATATATTGAACGTGTGACACTGCCCTTTGAGTACAAGATTCAACTTCGCAGTGTTGCCATACAAACAGAAAACTTCACTGTTTGTTATCAAAACAATGCATATTTTATAAAAAGAAGAAGACAGTTGTAAATTTAATATGAAAATTAAGGAAAACTTAAATCAAAAACAAAAAAATGTATTTTGAAGTGTCCATAATTTATACTAATCAATAAGAGCGGGGTTTTGAGATGGCAATCAAATGCCAATTAATAATCAGATTAGTTAATCTAAAAATAAATTTAATCTTATGTTAATCCCCTTTGATGTTTTTGAGTACAAGATTAAACTTCGCAGTGTTGCCATACAAAACAACAGAAAACGTCACTGTTTGTTATCAAAACAATGCATATTTTATAAAAGGGAGGAGACAATTGTAAATTTAATATGAAAAATTAATGAAAACTTAAATTAAAAACAAAAAAATGTCTTTTGAAGTGTCCATAATTTATACTAATCAATAAATAGAATATTTTAATGTTAATATTTATAAAAATTGTATGATTTTTTTTGCATCAGCTGTTTACACTTTTGCATTTCGTGCTTATGTTTAAACCACCTCCATTGGGCGCTTAAACTTGCAAACAAAATTAACTAATTGAGTACTCAAAAACATCATTCGAGGATTAATTTTAATTTAATCGCTAATCTTTCACCTAAAGATTGGCCCTAAATAGAACAATTTAATGTTTATATTTATAAAAATTTGATCAATTTTTTTGCATCAGCTGTTTACACTTTTGCATTTCGTGCTTAAGATTAAACAAAATTAACTAATTGAGTACTCAAAAACATCTTTTGAGGATTAATTTTAATTTAATCGCTAATCTTTCACCTAAAGATTAGCCCTATGGCAGCTGATTTTAATTTGTCCGCAGAATCCCACAGTAAAATGATTCTTTTTTGCATAAACAAGCCATATATATGTATGTATTTAAGAAATGCTAGATTGTATTAGATATGATAAATAGCTTTCATTCGTAGAGTCATTGCTGCGTTTCAAGGAATAATTTTTATTTGAAAATGCAAACATTTAATTGGTGATAGATATTTAAACAGCCAAATAGTCCAAAAAGCGAGCGTGATTCCGCAAATGTCCATAATACAGATTGCTTAAGAGAAGAGGTTAGAATCGATGTTTCTGTAATTACTGTTCGGAGGGCACTGCAATAGGCTAAGTACAATTGTCGAGTTGCTATTGGTATTTATATTATACTAGTGGGGCCCGGACTGCGTTGCAGGCCCATTTTTAGCCATGTGGACAATCTATATACCCATCAAATTATAAAATAATCGGTTTAGCGGTTAAGGTGTAATTGACAAAAAAATGAAAACGTCGGCGCCATCTGTTAGAAAATTTTAAAACTTTACAGGAACAATTCTTACGATCACTGGAACATATATTTGAAATCAGGTGCCTTAGTTCCTGAGTTTATCGATTACGAACAAACATTACTCTTTTATTTTTTGAATATATATATACACTCAAACCTCGTTTTATGCAAAAAAGCGCATAATTCAAATTCGCACAAAACGATACACTAGCTCCATACAAAATCCACTAATTGGGTTTTAGATAAAAAAGCGCACATTTTCAAATCATTCCCTTAAATGTCAAACAAAATCGCATATAAAAAATCAAAAAAATGTAATTCTTTACTGAAACCATAAAAAATAAGGAAAAATAAAGGAAACAGACAACAAAATTATACCAATTCCACATAACGAAGAAAATATACAACATTTCTTAAAAATAAAACTTAATATTTCTTCATGTACAAAGGATTTGAACAATACTTTGTATATCCGAACCGGAATTGGAAAAAAATCAGTAGTTGTACTTTGTTGATCACTTTTTTTTTGTATTTTTTTTTTGTATGTGGACCAAAATTTTAATTTTTGCAAAGAAAAATTTTAGAATTTTTAAACCGCACTAATTCAAATTCCCATAAAACGAGGTTTGAGTATATATATGTATATATATATATATATATATATATATATATATATATATATATATATATATATATATATATATATATATATATATATATATAGTACCGGCAAAAAAACCCATTTCCTGCCAAACTATATGGTTGACACGAAGGGTAGTCATCTTGTCGCGATGTGAAGGCTTAAGTGCAATGAATCCTATGGGCCATGATGAAAGAGTCAGCTCTGCCCAAGCTGGCTGGCTCCAAGGGGTTACCCTTGTCAGACGGGCCATAGGACGAGCGCGAAACTAAGAACTACCCTACTACGAAAGGGTCGTCCTCCGCCACTTTCAGATCGCCGAGGAGTTCTCCCCGCCTTCTGAAACAGCGGGATCGTCGATGTTTTCATCGTCCTTCTTGGGCGGAACCTCTGGCTTAACCCTAGAGGCGGCGGCGTTGCGTTTATCGTCACTGCGGTAGATACGGAGAGTAATACTATCAAAGCCATAGTACACTTTGCTTTCGCACCCTCGCAGTGGCGATACGGACTCCTTATTAAGGACCACAATCGCTTTTCTGATTGTTCCAATCGGTTCGGAGACCTTCACCACCTTCCAGTTATGGGTATGTAGATGAGGGTTTCCGCTCTGAAGGAGCGCCAGAATGTCCGCCGGGTCATGAGGCTCAGTTGGGATGGTGGCAATGGATCTCGGTCTGCGAGGAATTTCACAAACCGGGACCACGTCCAACATAGCACCTGGCCACACTTCCCCAAGGGACTCAATCGCTAGCTTGAGAAGTAACGCAGAGCACTTATTCGAACAAGCCAGCAGTTTTATGTGACCCTGGAACCAACCAGCGTCATCATTTTGGGGGGCGGGTCCTGGATTTTCCAGTACACTCCGAGCATTCGTTGACGGATGATCCCCAATTTATCTTGAAAGATGGCCCCGTCACTATTGCTCCTGTCGATAATAGTCCTTACCAGTGGATTCTTGGCAACCTCACTGAAAGGCCTATTAACGACGACAGTTTGCGCCTTCTTTGGACGTTTAGTCGTCGGGTGGATGGTGGACTACGAAGGGGACTCTTCCTCTGATCTTTGCCGTTTAGGCGCCTCAGCAGCAGACTTCGCCACTACTGCTTTGGCTGGAGGATCTGAGTCATATTGTCTAGCCAGGATATTTTTGGACCATTCAAGAGACGATTTCTCGTCCTTTGACAATACATTGTTGGGCTTGGCGCCATGTCGCTCAACAATGCGTTCGGCGGCGAGCCGATGTGCAAAAGCCCTACGGGAAGGGGTTTTGTGCCGTTGGGAATCTGCTGGTACGCTAGAAGAGCCCGACATCGAGTTCGACGACTTTTCCAGCGTAGGGGGAGGTGCGGATGAGGAACCCGACATCGGGGTCGACGATTCCTCTTTTGCACAAGGTGGCACATAGGAGACTTTTTTGTCACCCGAAGGAAGGGAAGAGGCTGACTTTTGATCAGCTAGGGCTGCTCTCGCGGCTGCAGAGGTACTAGCCACAACGGGCAGAGGTACCTCACCGCTTGGGACCTTTCCCACAACTGAAGGTTTGGTGGGAGGGATTGGTTTACAAGCAACCAGCTTGGGCCGGCTGCTTGCGAGTTTTGTTGTTGTTGTTGTTGTTCCAGTAGCTTGCGAATTAGACAGGCCCGGTGCTACCACCTGACTAACTCGGGTGCCAGTAACATTCGACTCACCACAGCCCGGTGTCGCCGCTGTGGGAATAGGGTCTCCGGATATTGTCAAGCCCCGAACCGGATACGAGGGGCATTTTCCTTCTTCAGACATCATTTAGGGGGGTAGCATTTTTACCTACTGCCAGGACATAAAAACTGCCGTCCCTCTGGGATCAAACAGACCATCAAGCCGCCCAATATGGAACAGACGCTTGATGGGTTTCGGACTGCACATTTAAGTGCATGAATCCTTTAGGGATTCAATCGGACTGCTCTATCGATTGTCCTATCTCAGTGATAGAAAAAACAAACAATAGAGCGGTTACTGACAGACCGCCCAATATGGGAAACAGACATCTGCCAGTTGGGAGGGGTAGTTCTTAGTTTCGCGCTCGTCCTATGGCCCGTCTGACAAGGGTAACCCCTTGGAGCCAGCCAGCTTGGGCAGAGCTGACTCTTTCATCATGGCCCATAGGATTCATTGCACTTAAGCCTTCACATCGCGACAAGATGACTACCCTTCGTGTCAACCATATAGTTTGGCAGGAAATAAGATAAGATAAGATAAGATAAGATAAGATAAGATAAGATAAGATAAGATAAGATAAGATAAGATAAGATAAGATAGATAAGATAAGATAAGATAAGATAAGATAAGATAAGATAAGATAAGATAAGATAAGATAAGATAAGATAAGATAAGATAAGATAAGATAAGATAGATAAGATAAGATAGATAAGATAAGATAAGATAAGATAAGATAAGATAAGATAGAAAGATAAGATAAGATAAGATAAGATAAGATAAGATAAGATAAGATAAGATAAAGATAAGATAAGATAAGATAAGATAAGATAAGATAAGATAAGATAAGATAAGATAAGATAAGATAAGATAAGATAAGATAAGATAAGATAAGATAAGATAAGATAAGATAAGATAAGATAAGATAAGATAAGATAAGATAAGATAAGATAAGATAAGATAAGATAAGATAAGATAGATAAGATAAGATAAGATAAGATAAGATAAGATAAGATAAGATAAGATAAGATAAGATAAGATAAGATAAGATAAGATAAGATAAGATAAGATAAGATAAGATAAGTTAAGATAAGATAAGATAAGATAAGATAGATAAGATAAGCTAAGATAAGATAAGATAAGATAAGATAAGATAAGATAAGATAAGATAGATAAGATAAGATAAGATAAGATAAGATAAGATAGATAAGATAAGATAAGATAAGATAAGATAAGATAAGATAAGATAAGATAAGATAAGATAAGATAAGATAAGATAAGATAAGAAGATAAGATAAGATAAGATAAGATAAGATCAGATAAGAATAAGAATAAAGATAAGATAATAAGAAGATAATAGATAAGATAAGATAAGATAAGATAAGATAAGATAAGATAAGATAAGATAAGATAAGATAAGATAAGATAGATAAGATAAGATAAGATAAGATAAGATAAGATAAGATAAGATAAGATAAGATAAGATAAGATAAGATAAGATAAGATAAGATAAGATAAGATAAGATAAGATAAGATAAGATAAGATAAGATAAGATAAGATAAGACTAAGATAAGATAAGATAGAGATAAGATAAGATAAGATAAGATAAGATAAGATAAGATAAGATAAGATAAGATAAGATAAGATAAGATAAGATAAGATAAGATAAGATAAGATATAAGATAAGATAAGATAAGATAAGATAAGATAGATAAGATAAGATAAGGATAAGATAAGATAAGATAAGATAAGATAAGATAAGATAGATAAGATAAGATAAGATAAGATAAGATAAGATAAGATAAGATAGATTATAGATAATGATAATGAAATGATAAGATAAGATAAGATAAGATAAGATAATATAAGATAAGAAGATAAGATAAGATCAGATAAAGATACGATAAGATAAGATAAGATAAGATAAGATAAGATAACGATAAGATAAGATAAGATAAGATAAGATAAGATAAGATAAGATAAGATAAGATAAGATAGTAAGATAAGATAAGATAAGATAAGATAAGATAAGATAAGATAATGATAAGATAAGATAAAGATAATATAAGATAAGATAAGATAAGATAAGATAGATAAGATAAGATAAGATAAGTATATAGATAAGATAAGATAAAGATAAGATAAGATAAGATAAGATAAGCTAAGATAAGATAAGATGATAAGATAAGATAAGATAAGATTAAGATAAGATAAGATAAGATAAGAAGCTAAGATAAGATCAGAAAGATAAGATAAGATAAGATAAGATAAGATAAGATAGATAAGATAAGATAAGATAAGATAAGATAAGATAAGATAAGATAAGATAAGATAAGATAAGATAAGATAAAGATAAGATAAGATAAGATAAGATAAGATAAGATAAGATAAGATAAGATAAGATAAGATAAGATAAGATAAGATAAGATAAGATAAGATAAGATAAGATAAGATAAGATAAGATAAGATAAGATAAGATAAGATAAGATAAGATAAGATAAGATAAGATAAGATAAGATAAGATAAGATAAGATAAGATAAGATAAGATAAGATAAGATAAGATAAGATAAGATAAGATAAGATAAGATAAGATAAGATAAGATAAGATAAGATAAGATAAGATAAGATAAGATAGATAAGATAAGATAAGATAAGATAAGATAAGATAAGATAAGATAAGATAAAGATAAGATAAGATAAGATAAGATAAGATAAGATAAGATAAGATAAGATAAGATAAGATAAGATAAGATAAGATAAGATAAGATAAGATAAGATAAGATAAGATAAGATAAGATAAGATAGATAAGATAAGATACGATAAGATAAGATAAGATAAAGATAAGATAAGATAAGATAAGATAAGATAAGATAAGATAAGATAAGATAAGATAGATAAGATAAGATAAGATAAGATAAGATAAGATAAGATAAGATAATAAGATAAGATAAGATAAGAAAGTAAGATAAGATAAGATAAGATAAGATAAGATAAGATAAGATAAGATAAGATAAGATAAGATAAGATAAGATAAGATAAGATAAGATAAGATAAGATAAGATAAGATAAGTAAGATAAGATAAGATAAGATAAGATAAGATAAGATAAGATAAGATAAGATAAGATAAGATAAGATAAGATAAGATAAGATAAGATAAGATAAGATAAGATAAGATAAGATAAGATAAGATAAGATAAGATAAGATAAGATAAGATAAGATAAGATAAAGATAAGATAAGATAAGATAAGATAAGATAAGATAAGATAAGATAAGATAAGATAAGATAAGATAAGATAAGATAAGATAAGATAAGATAAGATAAGATAAGATAAGATAAGATAAGATAAGATAAGATAAGATAAGATAAGATAAGATAAGATAAGATAAGATAAGATAAGATAAGATAAGATAAGCTAAGATAAGATAAGATAAGATAAGATAAGATAAGATAAGATAAGATAAGATAAGATAAGATAAGATAAGATAAGATAAGATAAGATAAGATAAGATAAGATAAGATAGATAAGATAAGATAAGATAAGATAAGATAAGATAGATAAGATAAGATAAGATAAGATAAGATAAGATAAGATAAGATAAGATAAGATAAGATAAGATAAGATAAGATAAGATAAGATAAGATAAGATAAGATAAGATAAGATAAGATAAGATAAGATAAGATAAGATAAGATAAGATAAGATAAGATAAGATAAGATAAGATAAGAATAAGATAAGATAAGATAAGATAAGATAAGATAAGATAAGATAAGATAAGATAAGATAAGATAAGATAAGATAAGATAAGATAAGATAAGATAAGATAGATAAGATAAGATAAGATAAGATAAGATAAGCTAGATAAGATAAGATAAGCTAAGATAAGATAAGATAAGATAAGATAAGATAAGATAAGATAAGATAAGATAAGATAAGATAAGATAAGATAAGATAAGATAAGATAAGATAAGATAAGATAAGATAAGATAAGATAAGATAAGATAGATAAGATAAGATAAGATAAGATAAGATAAGATAAGATAAGATAAGATAAGATAAGATAAGATAAGATAAGATAAGATAAGATAAGATAAGATAAGATAAGATAAGATAAGATAAGATAAGATAAGATAAGATAAGATAAGAAGATAAGATAAGATAAGATAAGATAAGATAAGATAAGATAAGATAAGATAAGATAAGATAAGATAAGATAAGATAAGATAAGATAAGATAAGATAAGATAAGATAAGATAAGATAGATAAGATAAGATAAGATAAGATAAGATAAGATAAGATAAGATAAGATAAGATAAGATAAGATAAGATAAGATAAGATAAGATAAGATAAGATAAGATAAGATAAGATAAGATAAGATAAGATAAGATAAGATAAGATAGAAGATAGAAGATAGATAGATAGATAGATAGATAGATAGATAGATAGATAGATAGATAGATAGATAGATAGGTAGATAGATAGATAGATAGATAGATAGATAGATAGATAGATAGATTTTTTAATGTTTACATTGTGACTTTTAAGGCATGCCTGCTAATAAGTGTGAGAGTTGCCATATTTATAATTCTTAATGTATTTATTTAAATATTTTGTAAACGAATTAATATTGTTAATTTTTTAAGTAGTTATTTCATTATCTTATAAAAACATTTCTAAAATACTTTAAATTACATTTTTGTTTACCATTAGCTGTAATTTTTAGATCTTTTTGTAGTAATTTATTTTTTATTAAAGAAATAATTTCATTTTAATAAGCTAACATTTGAAAAAATCAATTACTTTCGAATAAAATAAAATATTAAGAAAAATAAAATTATTGGATATGGTAACACTTAACATGTGTGATAGTAATCGCACACGATCTTTATGCTGTGAGATCAGAACAGAAATGAAGCAACTGCCAAAATTACGAAGGTGTGACAAAAGCCATGTCGAAAAAAAAACTTCAAATTACGTTTCGTGCCTGTTTTGCAACACTCTTTTCTTCTTTCTCCCCTACAAGCTCGTAAGGTATGACTGGTGTCCCTGTCTCAAAAGGCATAGTCTGAAACAGGTCGAAGT